GAAAGAAAGAAAGACAGAAAAGAAAAAGAAAAAAAGAAATTTGGGCTGAATCTTAAAGGAGGAAAAGGAATTCTAAAGCACGGACCTAAACGGAAAAGAAAAGGGTGTTGAAACAAAGGAAAGAGGGCTGAGTAATGAGAAAACCAGCCATGCCCACGAACAAGCCAGCCAGGTAAACATCTTTACCAGGCCACTCACAACACCCACAGGGACCAATTTACACCTTTCTTAGAGAAGCCACTGCCCCACATTTAAGGATTTTCTTTCTGTTGAATGAGAACACTGGGTGGTTATCAGAGTGCATTGTCATATCTATAGTATAGGGACACCCACCTGGCTGTGAGCAGACCCAGGTCCCTCACTTGCATGAGGTGCTTCCTAACAAAATGCAGAAACCATAGGCCAGCTGTCAACTCAAGAGTCTGCTTCCCAACTCACCTGAAAAACAATTGGAAAAAGTCATTTTTATTATTAACGGGAGTAGCCAGTCTTTTGATGGTTCCAGCAGAAATCTCCAGCCTATGGCTAAGCTCTTTGGTCTCAGAGCAGAAAACAAGGCTAGTGTTACCTGGCCAAGGGGCTGGATCAAACAGACCTAGGTGACAATACTGGTTTCACAACTCAGTGGCAGGGTAACTGCAGCCAGGTAGTTAACCTACCTGTGCTTCAGTTTCCTCCCCTGCAGTACCTATCTCAGAATGATTAGGAAGGTCTTCTATATGCCAGGCACCTTCTATATGCCTGGAAATGCCTGCATAAATGGGTTTCCTACCCTCAGGGAGCTTACAGTCCACAAAGAGAAATAAATAGGTTGCATTCACGACTTTGAGCAGCTGATAGGAGCTGAAGGGAGGAAAATACAAGGGGACATGGGAGCCTTTGCAGAGGCACCAGCTGATTTCCAAGGCATCAAAGGAAGCTCCCCAGAACAAGGGGGGGCTAAAATGAGGAGGTAGCCAAACTAAAGAGCATGCCAGGCAAAAGGAACAGTAAAATGGAGAGTCCTGGAAGCGAGAACACAGTCATAAAAGAAAGAAGTTGGTGCCCACTGAAGCATTTCAGATCACAAGAAGCCTTCCTGCAGCTGCTTTAGGAGAGTTTGGACTTTACCTTAAGGCTAATGCAAGCTCTGACATAGAAGAGGACACTGGGATGGTTCAGATGGCTTTCAGCAACACCAGAGAGGAGAACAAACTGGAAGGAGGCAACAACACCCCATCTTAGCTGCCCCAAATGCCACATCCTGGTGTGTCATAAGAGGACAGAAAGACAATCCTTATGATCAGAAGTGAAGCTGAGCTCCCCCGAGCATCTCCGGCAAACCACCAGTCATGAAGCCCAGGTTCCTCCAGCATGAGGTGGTTCCTGCCAGGCAGATAATAGCTCAGCACCACTGCCTCAGGGGCAGAGTCTGCCTGCCTCAACACACCCCTACCAAGTGCCTGAGTGGCAATGTGTGGTGCAGCAGCATCACCTGGGAATGTGTCAGAAACACAAATTCTCCACCATCCCAGTACTAGTGACTCAGAATCTCTGGGGTGGGACCCACATTCAGGGTTTTCACAAGTCCCCTGGGTGACAGTGATGCTTGCTAAGGGCAAGTCCTGCGGGACAGAGTACACAGCTGGCCCAGCCTACTAACCCAACAGCGACTCTGTGCTCAAGGCCTCACACTCCACAGTGCTTTGAAGCCCATTTCTGTTGTAAAAAATACACAAAGCTGGTTTTTACGCATGGCACCATTCCCAGTCCTGGGGACCAACAGGATAGGGGACTAAGCCACCTTTAAGGTGGGGAGGTGGAGGTGGTAGTGCAGGCAAGGCCCTTCCTCTTCTCCTGGGCCCTCATCTGTTTTAGGACAGGCAAAGCGAACTCGAGCTTTAAGGAAAGAGAACGCATGCTTCTCCTTTTAGACATTTCTCCTCCCACTTAGATACAGAATCTGACCGCTCCATAAATGAAACACTGAGGTTGCCCTGGAAGGCTCCATGTGGTTTTATCAGAGGGTCAAGTTTCTTCCTGGAGAGTGAACCAAACTCTGTGGTTACAAAGACACCAAGGCCCAGGAGCCATAAAGTAATTCAGGATTCAGAAGAGCCCAGTTTATCTTCCTCTTTCTTTGAATATCTATCTTCTCCTTATAAAAAAAGAAAAAGATTACCCCTCCCCCACAAAAAAGCATATTTCTGTAAACAGCAGGCAAGTTTCTCACATTCTTGTTTATGTTTTTATAGCTCTTACTTTCTTTACAAAAGGGGATGAGGGGCAGGGGTGGAGGCCAAAGCATCAAAATAGCACTCAGGTCATGAAGGGAGATGATGCTCCACTCAGCTCCCAGGGCCTACCCCCAACACCAATGCCACCATGAGAGTGGCTGTGCTGCAGGAACTCACAGGAAGTCATGCGTGGTATGGGGGCAGTGAGGACACTATTCTCAGCGCACCTCAAGTAGTGCTGCAGAAACCCCAACTGCCTCCCCATGTTCAGGCAGCACCCTGTGTTTGTATGCTGCAGCCCTCTGACCTCCCCACCGGCCCCTGTGCCTGTGGTCCCACACCTCCAAAGGCTTTCCACGGCCAAACACACTGCCACACCTGCTAGCCCTCAACGATCACGGTTCTTCCACCCGTCTCTCCCCACTAGACTGTGAGCTTTCTGAGGGGTGTAATAAGCATGTGTTGAATAAATGACTGAATACACAGCCATATGGATTCACCTGGAATAAGAGTTTCAGGCCTGGATTCCATCCCCTCACCCTTTCCAGTCCAAAGAGGCAAAATGATTTGCCCAAGGCCGCAGAGCAAGCTGACGGCACAGGAAGGTCAGGGAGGCAGAACAGACAGTTCTTACCAATTTCTGCCTTTCACAGGCTGTGTTTCCATCTTTCCTGAGTACCATGCCCCCTTGAGGACAAAGATATTTTATGTGTGATAAGAATGGATTCATTTTTTGTATGTTTCATTTCAAGAACATGGAGGAACATCTTATGAATCTTAGAATGTGGGGCACTAAGCCCAATCTAGGGACAGAGCAGGGAGGCCAGGGGAAGAAGAGTTGGGATATGGCTGCGAGCCGTGGAGTGGGTCAGTTCTTCATAGACGTTCCCAGAGTTCTGGTCCCTGGGGAGTGCTTCTGTGTAAGTCCTCTGTCAGTTCTGGTTTACTCCGGCAGCAGAGACAAGAGAATCTCCCAACCCATCCCCACTCTGTTCTGAAAACATATTCCACCACTTACACAAGCTTTGGCTTTGGCAGCAGAATGCCCAAGTTCAGTTTCTTTTTGCCAGCCAGAGGCTGAGAACTCTGCAAATGTAATGATTCTTTACAGATACAAAAGAGAAAGCATGAGCTAATGCACATTATCTAGGTGGCATGCATTCTCAGGAGAGTCAAGCCCTTCTCTTCAAGTCCCCTGGGAAAGATGCCCCCAACACTCCCACCATCCCCCCTTTCCCTGAGAGAAGGGAAGGTTTCTGTTGCTGGCCAAGCTCACCTGCTAAGCAGGTACAGAAAATGGATCATTTTCCAAGTCTTGGATTTAGCTTCTCTCTCAAAACTAAACTGACTTTAAAAAACAAAACCGGACGGGCGCAGTGGCTCACACCTATAATCCCAGCACTTTGGGAGGCCGAGGCAGGCAGATCACGAGGTCAGGAGATCGAGACCATTCTGGCTAACACGGTGAAACCCCGTTTCTACTAAAAAATACAAAAAATTAGCCAGGCATGGTGGCGGGCACCTGTAGTCCCAGCTACTTGGGAGGCTGAGGCAGGAGAATGGTGTGAACACAGGAGGCGGAGCTTGCAGTGAGCCAAGATCGCACCACAGGACTTCAGCCTGGCCAACAGAGTGAGACTCTGTCCCAAATAAATAAATAAATAAATATTTAAAAAAAAAAAAAAAAAAACATCCAAAACAATCCTACGTACAATTATGGTGTTTAGTCTTAGTTTTCATATATAGATCACTTGGCTTTTCATTATAACTCGTATGTGAAATGGCCACATTAGAAATGTGCCAAATGCATCTTAAATGATATTAAAGTTCCCATCACACACACACACCAATTAAATGAATGAGAACAAGTTCTGCCTAGTGCCCTCCCAGGCACGCTGTGCTTTTCTTGAGCTGCCTGGACACCTGGTGCCTGAGGCTGCCATCTGTGGCCCCGCATCCTGCTCTGCCCTCCTTGAAGAGTGGCCCATACTCCACCCTATCAAAGTCCACTCCCTGTATACTCTGATCCTAAGAAGCATTCTATTAAGTTATTCCTGTTAACATATGAATCACAAATGCATCACCTGTCCTATGGATGCTTACACATCTAATAAGAGGCTTAAAGGGAAACACTTCACCCAATTTCTCTAATGGTAGAATTGTAAGCACAACACTAAGTGAATTTCACCTTTTGGGTAAGGAGCTATATCCAGCTGATTCCTCCACACTGACCATTTCCTACTTCATTGGTCTCATAAGCTGACTTTGCCCCTAAGGTAAGGCTGAGATGGATCCTGCATCTTTAGGAATAGAGGTTAATTTCCATACAATTGTGGAAGGGCAAACTCCTTAACCTCACAAGTCACCTGGATCAGAACCAAGTTGGTCTGGGGAGGATAGGGCCCCTTGTTCATCCATTTCTGGTCATCCATTACTTAACAATGCTCATTATCTCCAGTGTCTGAACCAAAGTAGGAAACAGTGGGAAAAATCACTATCAAGACATTCTTAAAGACTTCTCTACAGAGGCCCAAAGCTTGTATAGTCCAGTATCTTTGAGCACTTAATAGTCAGTATCTGTAAAACCTTCCTAAAAATAAAGGCTTCACAGAACTGACTTCTTACACTGTTAACAAAGGCCTCTCTGATTTGGCTCCATCTAAGATAAGAGCCTCTCTGTAAGAGCAAAAGCATGTGTTAAGATAAAAAGTGAAGTGGATTCAATGGGACAGAAGACAGCCCTTCACAAGCAAGTATCTAAGAGGCCAAGAAATAAAAAGGCAAGGGTGTCCCTCAGACAAGGCCAATATCACAGGCTCAGACAGACAGGTTTCTAAACGGATGCTTCTCTAATTTTTCTAGAGCCTTCCTGATCATAAGAACCACCTAGAAGCTTTGTTTAAAAGATACAGATTCCCAAGACCCACTCCAGACCTATGAAGCCAAAACCCCTGGTAGGGTCTGGTAACACATATGTCTAGCCAGCACCTTAGCGGAGTGTCAGGCAAGTTTCAGAAATAATGCTCCAAATGAAACAATAGGCAACTTTTTAAAAGCTTTGTAATCACATAACCTTGAAGTTACAGGTATGTGGGAAAATGCAGGTTTAATGGAAGGATGTTAGCGCCTTCTTAACCTAGTTAAACTTATGGAATATAACCAACATGAAATGAGGAAATCATTTTAACTAACTTGGGGGGTGGGGGAAGCCTTCCCCTGTAG